GTCTCCGCCTGTAACAGCACCTAGTCTGGAAGTGTGGGAAGTCGTCTGGTTAATGTCTCCGCCTGTAAAAGCACCTAGTCTGGAACATTTCGCGAGTCTTACCCTACTCGCATAGACGCGGCGAGTGACGGCACCTCCTAGTCCGATCTTTGCCAGCACGACGTCGATCTCGACACAGCCGTCCGTGTCCGTCTGAAATGGAGCAATCCTGCATTAGCCTTGAGCCCAAATTGGCGGCGCGTGGTCGATTGAGACAACCTTTCTATTTGTGCGTATTTTACGCATGGGCGCTTGTTCACCCGGTGCGAAACTGCAAGGTACATCGGACTGTTGTTATCATGCTCGAGAGCCATTCATTCGCACTGCACAAGGATTACCCTGCATGATTATTGGATCTGACAGTGTGCCATGGGCCAACGAGCAATGCTTTTGAGTCACAAACGTCTGACAACATCAAGCGCGGGCACACCAGCCGTCCAATATTCACACCGCTGGGGAGCCGCACGTGGCGGGTGAGAACAGTGCACGGCACAAGAAAATAAATATGTGCTATTTGAGAATGCCACCCGACTCATCAAGCCACAAATGAGTCATATGTGGTCAACGTTAGCTTGAGCGCCTGGCATCGTGCAACAGCCCTCTCGTCTCTCGTCCCTGGCTAGAACTGCAGACCGTCGACACCAGGATTACATGGACGTATGTTACCAGACCAGGCGCTAGCCAGTGCCGACAGTGTATGCCCATATGCTGGGTTCGTGCTATCGGAAACGGACCTCCTCCGTGAAGGTCACGTTCGAAGGCGGCGGCTTCTCGGAACTTGACCCGTGCCGGCGTCGGAAGAAGAACGTCGACGGACGGGACACCAACAGCTTCAGGGCAGCGCCCGGCACCGGCTTCCCGAACGTGTAGCTGCGACAAAGCGGTAGACATCATGATATCATCGCTGGCAGAGCTCTGAACATCTTATCATGGAGCGCTGGACACCATGACATCATGGCTGGCACAGCGCTGGACGTCATGGCATCATAGCTGGCAGAGCCCTGGACATCATGACATCATGGTTGGCAGAGCGCTGGACAACATGGCGTTATGGCTAGCAGAGTGCTGGACATCATGACATCATGGCTGGCAGAGCGCTGGATATCATGGCATCATGCCTCGCAGAGCGCCGGACATCATAACATCATAGCTGGCAGAGCGCTGGACATCATGACATCATGGTTGGCAGAGCGTTGGACAACATGGCGTTATGGCTGGCAGAGCGCTGGACATCATGACATCATGGTTGGCAGAGCGCTGGATATCATGGCATCATGCCTCGCAGAGCGCGGACATCATAACATCATGGTTGGCAGAGCGCTGGACATCATAACATCATGGTTGGCAGAGCGCTGGACACCATGACATCATGGTTGGCAGAGCGCTGGACACCATGACGTCATGGCTGGCAGAGCGCTGGACACCACGACGCCATGGCTGGCACCGGACAACCGCATCACCGTCCTCGCTGGCACTCTGCGCAGACGGTTGAGCACAACAGAGCACAATACAAAATACAACGGAAGCTCCAAACTGCCCCTGCCAATTTAACTGACTTGAATCAGCAGTCAGCTGATAGCGATCGGCTCCACATGACATCACGACCAGTGACAAAAAAAAAAAACACCATTCTGTTTGACTTGTATAGAATTTGGATTTCACCAACGTCTTAAACATGCATATGCACGGGTACGGGTTCGATTTGTGTAAATGATACGTGGGCCGAGCCAAGAATACGGAATACGGTACCTCCTCAAAATATGGTTCTCAACAATTTAGCTTATTTCATTCAACTTATATTTTCGCCAGTTTTAAAACAAAAGTCAATAATGAGATGTTAGACAGCCCTTAGTTTCAGCAGCATAGCACATCGCAGCCAGGACAAAAAAGTGCCCACCGGAGACAGACTTTATGAAATGATAAGCACTTTCTTCAAGATGCGTATACTCCAACTAAATATATTGGGGATCTCAAACTTCTTTTCAAGGCCCAAATAAACACGGTTGGGGGGGGGGGGGTCGTCGCAAAGGACAATTAACGGGCACCCTTGTGCCCATAGCGCAATGGGTCTCGGATGATTTAGAAACCCACAACAGGCCTGGAAAACTAAAATTCTCACGATCAGGTTTCCTTTTGAGCTCAACATTTTCCCTCCTAATAATGCGAAATAGATACTCTAGCAAAACACAATACGTACGGTCATGTCCCGCTTTTAGTGATGTCGCATTCAGATCATTGATAGAATGCAGACATGCACACTACGAATATAGGCAGCCCAAGGAATTTGAGAATGGGCTCGTCTCTGTTAATCTCGCATTGGTTTGAAAATCGCAGATCGAATAAAGCGAGACGGCGCTGGTAAAAAACATGCAATCAAAAATAGAAAAAGACGGTATCGGGGTGCGAGCACATTTAGCACACGATAATAATATGGCTCTCTCATGATACTCTCAGCAGGCCATACTCTCAGCAGACCATACTCTCAGCAGGTCATGATGCTCTCAGCAGGCTATGCTCTCGACATGATGCTCTCAGCAGGCCCTGATACTCCCAGCAGGCCATAATCCTCTCAGCAAGATACTCTCAGCAGGCCATGATGCTCTCAGCAGGCCGTATCCACCCTTTGAATTCAAGGCTATGTTTGTTTTTTTCGTGGACGGTACACCCGAAGCGTCCGCTGCACCGCATCCAAGCAAACCTGGCCTGGACACCCCTGCATTCGAAACACCGAATGCCTGAACAATCGCTGGAGGCAGCACATCGTGGTTCGTACATATCAGTGCAACGCATGAGGAAGATTGACGCGATGCATTATTTGATAAAAACGGTGATCTCTTTACCTGCAAAGCAAAAGGAAAACCGTCGCTGTTTGCTCATTTCCTTTCGTAGGTTACCACGCGCCAGTTGAATGACCTTCGCTCGTGTGAGGGTAAATTTGACCCCTGATACTTCAAAAAGCAATAGAGCTAGGCACACAAAATTTACAGGGTGGATTGGCTTGGATGTGGACTCATTTTTTGTTCAAAATTTGAGGTTCATTAACCAGGATCTTAAAATAAAGTCTTAGGTCAAACAAAGTCAAGCAAGGTCAAATTCAACATTGATGTCCAAATTGCCCTCAGGACCCTCATACAACCGCCTTGGACTTAAAACATGTTTTATGTAAACCGCCACTGGTGCTCACCTGAAGCAAGTGATCATGTTTGGCCTTTAGAAGGTCACGGTGACCAAAAACCTACGAGATTGTTCTGATTTTTAAAAATTCGAGTAAGCAAAGTGAATTGCACCAGTGAGCATGTTCCTAAAACGGGAGGTTGATCAGAGTAATCTCAGGTCAGTGACCTACTGAGACCATTGAGAAGTTCATGGAATATATCTGTCGCAGTGCAGGCTATCAAGACATTTGAACAAGCATCAAAAAACATTTCCGAAAGCAACCTCTCAAAAAGGGGATAAGCTTTGGCCGTGGGCTGACCTGCATACCAGACCCTAGGCCAATAGAGTTCCTTGAAAGCCTGCGTAAGTTTGTATTGCCTAATAAACTATCCAAGAGATGTGCCGCTCCGTCTTACACTCCTCTGTCGCATCAGACTGAACAAATCCCTATAATGTGCCCTCGATGACAGCCACGATCTGTTTTTGACCTGCCATAGATCAGCGGCATTACACAGTAAATGTACTTCGCATGTGACAAAAGATCCACTATTCAATTGCCTGCAGCTATGCAAGGTCTGGCGCAGCTACATGGCGTCGTTCAAAAATTATTTTATAAAAAAACGTTTGGCTAGTCAACGTGGCTCCCATCCGAGCGTGTGGTAAAGCTTGCCGTGCTTTACACCAAAACCGCCCGGCCACATTTAAGGCAATATTTCAAATATTTCAAATATAAAGCATGCGTTGTGAATGATCTTATGTTCAACTGCGCAGTGAAAACACTTAGGCTGCCTTATAAGCTGCCACCTTATCGTTCAGGTATTTTGTTCTACAGATTGCAAGACTCTGATGCTGTTTAATATGCTGATATCACATCGCCTAGTTAATTGGTTTCTCGCTTTTCCATCACTGAAATGACCGTTTTTTCAAGCTAATGACAAGAATGGCTAAGTATTGAAACCATATGTCATGTGCATTAAGTATGTTGCCAGCAATTTGTGATTAGGTTTCTACGGCGTTATTTATATATGCACATAATTTGTGCGGATGCATTTCTTTATTTTTATCCCCGTAGCATGTGCCTGAATTCATCTTCGATGATTCTGTGGACCACCCAAATCGCTTTTAAAAATATATAAACACTATGAAAAGAGCGTGGCTAAGGTTACCCGCAACCATGCCAACAAGCTAGCTCCTGCTGCGATCTACGCAGTACCCTAACTGCCTTTGGCCTGCAAGATGCGGCGCAAATAGCAGCAACAGCCCCTGGCATCCGCATTACGGCGCAACTGGGCACTCACGTGGCGCAGACTTTGAGGGTGACGGTGTTGGCTTGGTTAGTGATGTATTTAGGGCCGGTGATGGTGACTTCGAAGCGGGGCAGCACGTACTCCTCCACCTCGAACGGCCGCTTCACGATGTTGTCGCTGCGCTTCACATGGATGGTCCACCTGCCCTGCAAGTTTGGCATGACAGGGTGACGACAGTGAAACATCTCGCGGGAGCGTGACGGTGCGATGCCTCGCATATTCTGCAAGGCGCCACACAGTGAAACACACGTTACATGGCGCTTATTCTTCCATCAATGCCCGGATTGGCGTGTGTCACCTATAAAGTAGTATTTCATTGGCAGTGAATGTAATGAGCGCATGATCTATGTGCGTAAATGAAGCGCCAGCGAATCTGCAAAGCAATGGGGCTGCTCTCTCCATCATCAGGTTAACATGAGCGCCTGCGTGATACGCTACTGCGGCATTGAAGGCATGATGAAGCTTTTTTTCAAAAGCAAGGTATGAAACTACGCACACTTTGTTTAAGCTGAGAGGGCATCAGTCAACGGGCCTCAAGTGTTTAACGACCGTTAAACCAGCTTTTGCCTACACACAGATAAAATAATTCAACTTCTTCGGTGCGTCACGAGCCCCCAACTTACTTGAACGAGGAATGGCGAGCAGCACACGTAGCAAAAATAAAACCGGTTACTCTTATATGGTACAGTGCTTGTGAATTGTGCAAATGATACAGTGTTAATAAAAAATGTCACTTACTTAAGGAATATCACGTATACATTCGTTATAAGGAGGTCAGAGCGAGTAGAAATACAACACTTGCCATTGCGTACTGGTTTCAGAGAGCTCGTTCTGCGAGGTAGACTTTTTCAAGCTCCATGGTAGCTGATGCTGGTGGTACCTGGCTAAATTATGATGAGCGAGGTACTTTAAAGTGCCAAGGCTCGCAGTCATCCCATGAAGAGGCTGACAGTCGCTCAGGGTGCAGATTCAACATGCTAATTTACATCTAAATAATGGATGAATTCGAAAGCACTACCTTTGACAACTTCCGCAGGAAACAAACCACAGGCTCCGGAATAAAAGACGTACTATGACCTCTTGATGCGTTCATCGAACTTCCCGAGAACTTGATGACCACGCATTTGACGCTAACAGACGAGATTCGAGAATGGCATTTTATTTCGAAAAAAGTCGCGTTATGTTGACGGGCGCGGTTAGTCCGTGTTCATAATGCTGCTCCCTGTTATGGTGCAGGTCACCGTCCGTGCTCAGAGAGCTGGAAGTATCTATATTGTGGAGCATATCCAACTGAAATTGACAGATTGGCGGCGTCAGATGTGACGCTTGTGTCGCTGGTGGTACGCAGGCGGGCAGGTAAGCAGCCGAGTGTATGGTACATTGGCTCACAGCTTACCACCGACCTCACGTCATGCTGTGACCGTCACAAAGCTGTCAGTGTTGTAGTGCAGGGCATGAGCCGACCTACCGTCCAGTGTGGCACTTCGCTAGTGAACGTCGCGTACTTGCGCAGTGCTACATTTTTAAGCTTATGTTGGGGTTTGGATTATTCCGAGGCAACTTACCTGACTCACGCTCAATAAAATAAACTGCCGAGTGGTTTACAACCATCGCCGAAATTCACTCTTCATCTTTCCGCCAATGGATATGTGGATTCGATTCGACCCACAGCCGTTCCCAAGATGAAACGCTAGAGCCGTGGCGAGTGATGTTGCTCATGGCGTCAGACGTAGTAGTTCATGGGCCGTGGTTAGCTTTCCGTGTGTTGTCCGTGGTTTATGGGGGGGGGGGGGGAGGGAGGGGGGGTGCGAATAGGCGCGAACTCACAGGGGAGGCTCTTCTGTCAGTTGGAACTTCTTCTGAATGATACCGGACCGCGTGGCGACCTTGTCGAACTGTGCCAGTCTTGTACCGCCTGGTGTTGTAATGAAAATCTGGTCCACCTGGAGGGTTGAGAGAGACAGATTTAAAACATTACCCTGAAGTCGAGTAGCTTTGCCTACGCGCGCAGTCGTTTAGTCGTATAGCTTTACCCGGGAGAGGGAGAGGGGTGGTTTACTTTCCGCATCCACGTAAAAATGAAACCCTTTAATCCGTGAACTTTTCCAGAACACAAGGAAAAGGGGAGATAGATTATGGGCTTTTCGTGTCTCCCCTTCCACTTGCATATTGTTTCCTTATTCTTGACGAGGCCAGTGAGATGATCTTACACAACTTTGAACTGCCCCATTCCGTCAGCAGCACATAACGCAAGGCCGGAAAGTTGTCAACACAAAACACATCCCTAGAATCAATTGTAATCAAGTCCTCCACGTGAACCATCAGTAAAGGCGCGTATTCGGTGCCTCAGAGAGTCTCCCGCCCAACCAGGTGCCAACTCTCGGTATACTCACCACCTCCTCCATGGCAGTAAGATCACTCTTGAGCGTCACCACGCGGAACTGTACCAGATCGCCGGCCTTGTACTTGGACTTGTCGGTCTGAACCAGCGTCACGAGCGTGAAAGGCAGCACACGGAGCTGCGGGAGGAGAGTTGCAGCTTTACGGGAAACTCGATGACGTCGCCGATGGTCAGTAACAAAACTTACTGCGGTGCTCAGATAAGCTGGTCATTCAAGTATATCGCCGGATATGCCTCTGGACTCTATAATGCAGAGCAGATGGCGTCATGCACATGGTAGCAGATTACCAGCCGACGAAATGATTCGCAAAACCATGAGCTTCTTTATGTCCAGGATTGTTGAGGGCGTATGACGCAGCAACCATAACTCGGGGAGTGTGCATCAGCACTTCAACGTGTAGTTTGAGTTATCTACATACAAGCTATGGACGCTGGTATGAATCTGACTACAGACCGATTGCAGATAAGGGATGGATAAACACTACAATGCCGTCTTTTTTTCTGCGTAACCAGGTTTTGTTACAAACAGTTCCGAATGCCCTTAAGTTTTCTCATACTCTCGACTGCTGGCTCGAAGAGAAGAATCCCGAACGAACAGTCGCGCGTAGATACGCGTTTGACGGCGCTTTCTTCGGCACGGTAAAGTCGAAGCAGACATTTTCATCACCTGAAACATGGCACGATTCCTTCGTTTTTGGAAAACCGGTATAAGTCAGGACTGCGTTTGCCCCTGAAGCCGTTGAAGGACAGCGTCAGTGGAAACGTGGATCGTAGTCACGCCCGCGACAAAGCCATGATACTCGACGCACCTCAGTGGCAGAAAGCGCATGATAAAGTGGGTGGGTCCATTTGTGTGTGACGCACCCACTGAAGTGCGTGCTTCAGGAGCATTGAATGGAGCATTAGGAGTAGGGGGCTCACATTCTGACAACACTTACCTTCAATGTACCATAGGCTCCGACAAATTGGTGCTAACAAGAAAAATAAGGTTAACTTGCCAAAGCAATGCCGGTCTGTACATTTTGACTTCAGCCATGTATGCGCTACAAGCGGAATTTTCTCCTGAAAATGTTGGGATTCGAAAGAGAATAGTATGATTCCAAGCTTATTCTACGCATGATTTCCGGTTATGACGCACGCACAGCTGAAAGCTGAACACTATCCAGACGTGCCAGAAATCCATTACACCTGACGCCGCGCCCGAGGAGCTAACTGATTGAGACGCTGTGTGCACGCCAGCACACCAGGCTCGGATGAAAGTTCAAACAATTATACTCTCCGCGATACTTACTCATGCTCGGTGTGACGACGATGCAAGAATGTCTGTTCAAATCAGATTACAATAAAAAGTATAGCATTCGACCTGGCCCCGGCGGTTCATCGGAGGAACTATGAAGCAACTATGAACATCGTTGTCAACGTGGCAATGCATTGCAAACTGTTCATTGTTGGCAAGTGGCACGCCCAAAAAAAAGTTCACCCGGAGTAAAAACTGTCATCGTTGATCAAATTACCCATTGTTGGCAAGTCACACGCCCAAAAAAGTGCACTCGGAGTAAAAAAAGAAGTCAAAAGCCAAGAAGCCAAAGGAGAAAAGATGAAATATGACACAGCCAAATGACAAAACATCACAATAGATAGAGGTCCAATGGATAAAAGCAAAACGACGATAAGTCAAAGACAAAAAGTCAACTGTCCAACAGACAAAAGTGAAATGCAAGGAGCCAAATATGCAAAGTCAAAAACTTTTACCATTTGACCACCTCAGTGGTATGCAAAGGGAATGTAAAAAGGAAAAAACGGGCCTAGGAAATATGAATAAAAATTAAAGAGGTTCACGGGAGCCCTGAAGCGATGGCCCAAAACGACGCCCTCATCCTTTGCGTGGAGGAATTTTCAGACCAAATACTGGCACTCTGTGCCCTCTGCACAGCCGCGAGACCTGTGCGTCTTATTTACGTTTAGTCTGGGCCTTTGTATGTCAGCGTGACCACCTGTAGGCCGGTAGAGTCCCCAATATGTTCGGAACTAGTCCAAAATGCAATTTTCCTGGCCCTAGGTCACCTGGAAGTAGCCTGATCTAAACCACAAACTTAAGAGATCGGGCACTGATCGTCGGTGCATTTACTTCAGTAAAGGATGTTTACTTCGCATTGGATTAGGTCTTTTGACTTTTCGTTGACGTTACGTTTCGCATTTGCCTTTCATTTAGTTGAGTTCTTTGACATTTGACATTTCATCTTTTGACATGTCGTTTAACTTTCTGTCCTGTAACAACGCCGTGCAGTTTTTTCTGCACCATCAAACTCCCTGACCAGAAACAGTGACCGCACCACACATGCTCCAACCTGAAACACTTGGGCTTGGGTACCAGAATGATGCATGACGAACCGCGAAATGCTGCCTTTTTCCTGAGAAAAACAGTTTTAGTTGAATCACTGTTGCGGGCAGGATACACCCCTGCCACGTTTTGTTTTTGTTTTTGTTTTTTGCTTGCTATTTAGGTTAAAAAAGGCCATGTAAGGTTAACGTTGATTCATTTTGCGAAATGCACGCCAAATAGACACGAATGGGCATATCAATGGGATCGGACCTTTTCGAGAAACGAAGCTGGCGTGAACCAGATGACCCAAACATTCAGAACTCTGATTCAAAAACACACTGAGGCTTTCACGAGGCCTTCGGCCTTCAGGCGTTCATGAGCGCGATTTCCAAATACAGCAATTGTCAATTGGCGCTCAGTGAATGTTGTGCAGGGTACGATGACTTCACCAAATAAAGACACACTGAGGAGCATAGTTACCAAAACGAGAAATATGTCCTCTAGAGCAGCTTTACTACGTAAAAGTGTACCAATGAATGTAAGTGAGCTTATGCCACCACATCTAATGCTTGCTTCAGCATCTACAAATGCGTAACATTTCCTTTTATTATTTAAGATATCCTTTTAGATGTGTATTAAAATGATGAAACATTTACCATGAACTTTTGACCTGAGGTCAAATTTAAGGTCACTAGAGGTCACAAATGGTCAAAACAGTTGTTCCGATAGATACAGTTTAGACCTATGTCAACACGTCAAGACGGACATTGAGTGGCCGGAAATAAGCTCTAAGACTGTTGGGGAGGTCTTTCCGACCATTTCTGCTCATCTGCCTGGCTCAAGTCCGTTCAAGTCACCGTTCAAAGTTGGTTTACCAGTGGCCTACAAGAACGTCACTTTTCTTCGTAATACGCTTCTTACTACGTTTACTTATTAGGTGCAACTGCAGGAAAAAGTATTCTCGACACAAAATAACATTTTTGGGTGACCTAGTGGTAATCCGAGGCCAGCTCAGGTCAAATTTATAAGCCATCCAAATGACAAAATTTAAAATACTAACCTGACCTATATGACCACTTCGACGCTTTTCTGCAGTCAGAAATAGGGTATTGTATATCTACACGTACTCAAGTTCGCATAGCTTTTGTCTACACTATACGTAGTCCTTTCGACACTCGGCATTATACATGTAACACACTAAGAGAAGGTACGTTGATGCATGAAATTAGATCAAAATAAAAAACCTTCACAAATAAGAGGAGGTGGTTACATGCGTCGTGCTCGCAGCTCAACTACCCTCTCCGCTACTGGCAACATAGGCCATTTACCTTCGATGACATCACGTGACTTTTCACGTCTTCACATGACTATGGTGACCTCATTACGCATTACAATGATATCACAACATGCTGTCAGCGAAGTATGGCAATTTTGCTTGCAAAATTTATTAGTTAAACTGCCTCTTTTGAGCTCAACACGGGCTTTACAAAAGGTTCCAGTAGAGATAGGTCATGATCTGGGCCAACATCATGTGTTCTGTGGCCATATGATGGCTGTGCACGTACGTGAGTACTCTTTTCTCCATGCACACACACCACAGCCACACCAAAATACGTAAGGGACTGCATTAGTCACGAAAAGAGCCAAAATTAACCTTCCTTCATGTCACTGGCTTCGCATATTCCAAAAAATCTCAACTTAATATGCAAGCTGTGGGTACCTTCATGTTTCATTACTACAATATGCCTGAACAATTGTAACTGAGCCGCAAAAACGTTGTGTGGTCAGTTTATCTAGAGATTGACCTCTTCGTCCTGAGTTACTCACTCATCTCGGCTGATGTGCTCGAAAGTCGTTAGGGGAACTCAACTCTCCTCGTCCGGGCGCGAGTTAAAGAAAGAAATTAAATATTAGATCAGACTACGGAATTACAAAAAGATAACAGCAGTCTTGACAGCGAAGAACCAAATTGTACAGAACACGTGAAAAGAAGCTCGATGAAATAAAAACACGACACGCAAGAAGAGCACTAATAGCCTCCGGGCTGAGTGAGTGAGGGAGGATGAAAAAGCAACCTATTATCTTAGGAGCAGGGGCTGGCAAATGTGCAAGCAAAGGATACGTTCTGAAATCAATCATACTGGCCAAGTGTTGCGAGATAATAAAACTATCCTACGATATTGCATCGAACAGTACAAGGAGACGCTCATGTCAGAAGGCACCTCTAGAGGAATACATGAAAGCTGTCTTGGCAGTGATCAAATCTCAAAACTCACCGGGCAGAAACATGAGAAATTTGAAGGTCCACTCAGCAGCGAAGAACACAAATTGGCGTTGGGTAGGATGAACAAGAAAAACATTTCCGGTATCACAAAACTTACAGCAGCACTATTTACGTACTTCCGGAATTATCTCGAAAGCGTCATAGTGGCGTACAGCAGGGGCGCTTGTGCTATCTTTTTACATAGTTAAGTGGCGGAATATCATAACTCTGACTCTCAAGAAGGAAGATCAGACCCGATTACAAGCAAAATGCCCATATGTTTAGTAAATATAACGTACAATATTTTTACAAAGGTTGTTGATACACGCATTGGCTGTCATTCGTAACTTGGTCTCTCCAGAGCATACTGGATTTATTAATGGCGTTTATATCGTTTTCAACTAGATTTCTAAAGGGCGTTTTATACCACCGAGCGTTTTACATGTGAAACATAAGATTAACGGCAGATGTCGCTGAGGATGGCGATAACGATCGGTTCGGAAACTTTTTGATTGCGAGCGACTATCGGGCCGCGCTCAATTCGCGGGAGCATACTTGTTTTATCTCTACCTTTCTGACGTATAATTTTGGGGACATTTTAATGCTGCGCATTAAAATCCTATACCGTCATGCTTGTCTGGCAATACTGAATAGCGGGTTTACGCCAAACTGGTTCAATGGGAATGTTTTCCTTTTTGAGATATTAAAACAGGCATCACATACGATGACACAAGCTCACTTATAACCGATAGCATGCTTTTAAGTAGGAAATACTGTTCTAGAAACACAATTTCTCAATTTAGTTAACATGCTCATCGATACGTCATTGCTTGATCACGTCATCGCACCTTGCACAACATTGATCGAAAGCCAACTGACGGCCGTTGATTTCTGTCTATCTATCTACCTACCGAGACATAAATATATATATATATATATATATATATATATATATATATATATACATGTAGTTAAAAAATTGGCCATGCAAATCGTACTCACAAACGCCAGATATCAACGACTCGCCCATTACATTTGTATTGGCTTTGATCGCCATATGGCTTATGGAATGGTAGGATTTAAATGGCCTTATTGTGGCATGATGAATGCCAAGGTAACCTTTAAATGCTTTCCCCAAAACAGTCTCCCCATCTTTGCGGGCAAGTAACTCATAAAATAAAGGGGTTTAGGTCTTAAAAAGGGCAGTGATGTGAACTGCATCGATTGATTTTTAAGACAGCTATTTCAGTTCAAAACCCCATGCATATGTGGAACACTCCCCTCAAATGCAGCCTCGGTACGCCGCAGGCTTCCCCACTTAGTGGGATGTTGTTCGATTTTACCAATTAAGTTTTGACGATAAGTATGACAAAATGCAAGTATTTCCGAAGAAGACTTAATGCTGTAAAGTTTAAAGTATGGTTGTGCGTCGGCGGAATAGCATTGTTCTGTCAGGAAAAGCAACCAGCAGAGACAGTACAATGCCTCATGGATGAGTTCAGCAAAGCTTTTGAACTGAGCCCAAACGCAGACAAGAGCCCGGGCTAGATGCTCAGGAGTGCGGTAGCGAGTCTGTTTCAGAAATACGAACCGTAAACAATGCAGAAGCACTGGATGCATGGGTTAGCGCAAACGCATCCCGTGGCGCAGATAATGAAGATCATATTTACACAAAAATATGTAATGCCATTAGTACGTGGAGCCAGCCGTCATTAACAGTGAAGGATCGCATCACCACTCACAGACATCTGATGTCTCAGCTCGTACGCATGTGCGCATGGGTGAAACCCGCAAAGGAAAGCCGAATGGCGATTCAAAGAAACATAAAGCTAGCAGTTTATAAAATATGCGGAGCGGTCTTCGGATGTGTGTTTTGACACGGGGAGGGTGGCATCCAGGTGGCGCACCACATGTCATATGCATTCTCACGCACGAGTGTGATGCATGATCTGTTTGCTTTGTGTCTTGAATAATTTTTTATAACTTTTTAAAATAAATTTGATTCGAACCTTTTGAACGGATAGATTTCTGGGATCAGCGCTCACACTAAGCAGTGCTTGTTGTGTGAGCCCTGACCCCCACCATTCGATCGCGGAATTCCAGGCAAAGGCAGAATTTAGTGGCGAAATCTTAACTGCCGTAATGCTCGGCAAGGTTCGTCCTGCCCTCTGACGTCAAGTGACCTTCAGCGTGACCGCTGCCACCGGCCGCAGGCCATACCTGTCAAACGCAAATAGCGAGCGCCCTAAAGCGACTCGAACCCACCCTGCCACCTGTGGGTGGATCGCAAGGCAGGCGCTCTAGCCAACTGAGCCACCGGGACGGACTCAAACTTGAAAAAAACTTTGAAAAAATTAAGTTAACAAAAAAGGGAACAAAAAAAAAAACAATGCTTCATAACACGTGCGCAGCGACGCGCGCTGTACACTCTTAAATACGCGGCAGGCCGCAAACAGACCACGTCACCAGACGGACAGACAGCGTCACCAGACCACACCCAGCATCAGACGCAGGTAACTCACTGGGTCCACTGACGTAGAAGGTGCGGGAGAGCTGCGCCACGCTGTCGTCGACGGTGCTGTTCTTCTTGGGCAGCAGGTAAACGGACACACTGGCCTTGTCACGCAGGTTGAAGAACGTCAAACAGAAACGCTCTACGGTGTTGGCTATCAGCACCTTCGGCGCCGTCAGCAGGAAGCCCCTGCGGCCGTAACGGCGAGGTCAGGTGAGGCTTACTGCACCACACGGCGAAGCCAGGTGAGGCACGGTGCACCAGACGGCGAGATCAGGTGAGGCACGGTGCACCACACGGCGAAGCCAGGTGAGGCACGGTGCACCAGACGGCGAGATCAGGTGAGGCACACTGCACCAGACGGCGAGATCAGGTGAGGCACACTGCACCACACGGCGAGATCAGGTGAGGCACGGTGCACCAGACGGCGAGATCAGGTGAGGCTTACTGCACCACACGGCGAAGCCAGGTGAGGCTTACTGCACCACACGGCGAAGCCAGGTGAGGCTTACTGCACCACACGGCGAAGCCAGGTGAGGCACACTGCACCAGACGGCGAGATCAGGTGAGGCTTACTGCACCACACGGCGAGATCAGGTGAGGCACGGTGCATCCGACGGCGAGGTCAGGTGAGGCACACTGCACCAGACGGCGAGGTCAGGTGAGGCACGGTGCACCAGACGGCGAGGTCAGGTGAGGCACGGTGCACCAGACGGCGAGATCAGGTGAGGCACACTGCACCAGACGGCGAGATCAGGTGAGGCACGGTGCACCAGACGGCGAGGTCAGGTGAGGTACACTGCACCAGACGGCGAAGTCAGGTGAAGTACGCTGCTCTGGATAGTGAGGTCAGGTGAGGCATGCTGCTCTGGACAGGGAGGTCAGGTGAGACACACTGCTCTGGACGCCCGCTGCACGTCAGCATGGCCGCATGCCAATGACGTGCCGATCCAGAATGCGTGGCGACGGGAGAGGGAATTTCAAATGCTATCAAATTAACGGGTCTAGACGCATTAGAACTTCGTCAGCCTTACGGCGTTCAGAGAAATTATGTAATGTTAACTAACGCATTAGGAGCTTGACTCCATAGCTGACGACATCTTGCTCCTAAACGAGGTCTAGTTTCCCAGGGATGTAGTGAGCAGCATCACTTTACAGCAATAAAACATCACTTATGATTTCACCACATGCCGACAGCCACTTTGGTCTAAGTTCGTTCCATTCCTTTGATTCTGATGGAGGTATCGCCGATGCCATTTCATGGGTTTCCATACACGCACTCGTGGCGCGCGGCCAGCAATGCGCTTTCGCAATACCAGTTGGGAGGGGGAGGGGGACTCCGTCCTGTGTCACTCGACGAACGGTATCCTTGAATATTGTTTTCCCTTCGGATGTGGGCACTAGAATCTGGATAATCTATGGAAATAGCGCTTGGAAAAATTGGGAGCGTCGTTTCTTAATTAAGCAGGTCGTATTCCTTTTGCTTGAATTTTCATGAGCGTAGCGTACCGTGTTGGACTTATTTTTTGTCCGGTTGGGAGGGTCCAGCTTATTGTCGTAACACGACTACAACAGTAAGATTGCATTATTAGCTTGCAGGGGCGAAGCTCATTAAAGACTGGAGGCAGTCAATTATTTTTGGCAGAAAGTTGATAATCAGCGTTCATCTGAGACTGTCCAATGCAGTGAGGTTGATGGCCTCCGATATAAGAAAACGGTTCAAAGTTGGTATATTCTTGGGTTTTGTTATGATTGGCTCTCTCTGATTTTATCCAGATATATAGACAAATAAGTAAATGCGGTTTGCGCCAGTGGCAACTTAACTTTTATCAATAAGTGTTATTTCGTCAACCTTATAAATGCTAGTCAATTTAGTCAACTCGGTGTTCGTGAAAATAACGATACATTTATAATCAAATTCAACTACGACCTACAGTTTCTGAAAGCTGCCTTGACCTGTATAATGGGATCAATTATTGACCTAAAAACATAAAATCTACTAATCTAGATCTGATCGCATTCTACTATCTACCAATCACGTGATCTCATTGAGACCAATTAACTGGTTTTCCACTAATCTTTGTTTTCGCTAGTTTAGAAACTCCACGCGGGGGTAGGTCGCATCGACCCTCGTAAGGGATCGATGCGTTCATCATGCGTCCCCCTTACTGGTACGACGCATCGACCCCCGTAGCGGGAGGGGGGGGGGGGGTCGATGCTTCCTATCAGTCCGCGTTATGAAAATCGGCGTATCAGGGCGATATTTAACTTCAGTTGAATCTTAAAGATCAACTGTTATCAAAAGAAAACGTTGCCTTACCCTAGCACATAAGAGAAGCTATTGATTGAGGGTGGTGTTTTCGTGCTGAGTATCGCTAAGTTTCGACGCGTGCTACGTCATTTCACTTAGAGTTTATTTAAAGGTCAATGCTCTTAACACCGACAACAGATTTGATGCAAGTCGATGTTAGCTGTTTTCTGGGTTACCCTTTTAACAAGGAAAGGGCCATTTTAGCCTTTTGTTTTCGCGTCGTTTGTTCATCCTCATGTTTTTGCTGAACTCTGCATGTGAAAAACTGGAGAGGTTCAGCTAAAACGTAAAATATTCTGCAACATGAGTGAAGGAATTAAAGACATAACGCTGTGCTCTTGCCATCATTGCACACCTAAAAATGGGTTGCTCAATTGAGTAAACGTACTCTGTTATCCATTTTCCTTTGCCAGTATAGTATGTTGTAAGGCTCATGAGTACCAAATGCTGTGCTGTGTGATTATCGGTGAATTCAAGCCCGAGTATAAATGCTGAAAATTTTGTGGGATGTTTGCCAAGGTGTTCATAATGTTCCATTCCAGGTGCCATGGCTGGTTTTCCCAAGACATCGTATAAAGCGTCGCTAAACCAGCGGATATGTGACCGCTGCGTGCCTGTCTCTTAAGCGTAACCTTGAACGAAACATGCATCAAGTAAACAATGCTTGCCAAACTTAAAGTACCCTTCCAGCAAGGGCACTATGCCTAACATCATAGGGAAAAACCAAGGTCATAGTGCAGCGTTTCGCTGAATTCGCGTGGTAATGGCCGCATATTTATATATCGTCTCCCTGAATGGAGGGTTTTAGCCTCTTGTACTTTTATGCATTAATTCATTAAACAACGATTCGGTGCATTGCTGTTGCAATCCACATGCTGCAAAAGCCAACAATAGGAATTATTACAAATAGGAATTATTATTAAGATGTTTTATTCGATTGCCCAACTACAAATTTCGGATACCACACAAGCTGTTGCACTATGTAACTGCAACATTTGCCGCTGACGTCAGGCACGGTTACCAAGCGCAGAGTCATCGTGCAATACAGGATTGAAATTGCAGGCAACTGCATGGGGCAGTTTCAGTTTTAAAAGGCATGTGATCTGCAATGATTTGTGAGGTGCTTCTCTCCTCTCCCTCCCAAACGTTGACGTGCATCAATAAATATTGGTTTTCCCCTAGCAATATTGGTGCTGGAATGCTGCAAAAAGTGAGATAGCGTTCAATGTCGCGCAAAGACTACGCGCTTTTTTGAAAGACAAGACTATTAAATGAATGATATACAGCAATGCGAGGAGAATGACAGCATGGCCAAAATATAGTGTGCCAGATCTACTAAAAAAAAAAACAGACACGAGAGATGGGGTGGAGCAGTAGATGGGCACGCCTCAGCACAGCCCACCAACAGTTAACGCCCATTGACACTGGTAATCTGGAGGGTACATAGCTTTGAAACTTCAAGCAAGATAAATTGTGCCAATAATCGGCCAACTTGTGATATCAGGTGTCACTCCAAAAAGAGCGCGGGCCTATAAGTGATTCCTCTGGATAAAAGTGTAATAGGTGCGTGCATATCCAAATTATATTATCTCGTCACTTATTTCTTCATGGAAGGCCCTGCTGTGACCACGAAACGGTGGTGAGTTAATATGACTGGCGCGTTATCTACTTTGCGGGAAACGACGTGCCTGTACTTTGGTATGATGTTTTGTTTACGTGTGCTTAATATGAAAAATTAGACGCCAATTTTCAGCATTACTTCACTGAAAATCAATTTCTAAACTGTGGACACATCTAAAGTGTGGACACATCTTAGTACACCTGGACCAGTCGCAACCATACAGCACTTACCAGCCGAGCGTTTATGACACATTGCTCATAACTAACTCACTGTGGCTGCTGAGTCAAAATGTGATCATTTACGCCGCAGAATGTTCACAATGAGGCATAACGTGTAAATTGAGACCTAATGTAAGTTGGCCCGGACCAATGATATATATATATATATATATATATATATATATATATATATATACCTTGACACAGATACAATAACTTCAAAACTATGGCACCCTGAGGCCCTTACAACACTAAACTCTGTTCTGTTTTCTGTTCTGTGTTCTGTGACTGATAACGCAGCCCCACCTAACGCCACAGCTACACCAAAGATGCCGTTACCTCGGCGCTGCCAACTTCTGGTATAACATCCCAAGTCTAGTTTGTATCCCGCTTCCGGCATATTTGTAGTCTATTTAAATGCCTACTTGGTTCATCTTTGCAGTACCCAGTGTTCGCTATTATTTTGCTTTACGTTGGCCACCGAGGGTCATTTGGGCAGGGTGGTAGGGTAGAGAAATGTGATGCGGCATGAACGCAGTCGAAAACGTGTGATCTTTTCAGTCTGATTCCCGAAAAGCAGCGAATTTAGAATCCGGCAGGCAAAGTATGCGAAGAATATACATTTCTGCATCACCTTGCCGTTCTTGTGTATGTTTGCGTCAAACGGTGTTATTTGAGCAGCCTTTAACATAACTTTCCGCATTCTGTGGAGTTCTGATCACACCTGGCGTAGCGAGAGAGCCGTAGCCGTGACGATATCAAATTACACTGGTATGATGCCACGCAGATCTTGTAGGCTAGTGATCTTTGCATGCTCCTCGTGACCCTGTCAATGCTTTCACCTATTATTTGTACCACTGACCAAATACCTATCACTTGACACTGCGTTGGCCGGCTGAATGCCACCTGCGTCCGCACTCGTGCTGTTTCGGTTTGGTCTTGTTCGTAAAATGTCACGGGTGACGCGCCGGCGCGACGGGGCAATTTGCCCCCAAGTGCCAGTCAAACGTCACTGCCGAGAACTCAATGACCTTTAACATCCTGTTGGCAGATCGGATTGCGCCAGCCGCTTAGCCCAGTGGTCAGAGCTGCCAGCCGTTATACTAGGCGCAGAGGCACCGGAGAGCAGCGCGTGAACAAAGCATCGTTCTACGACATCGCCCGGGGCTAATGATGCGACGCGGGCTACGCTAATCTAAAGCTGAAAAACTGGAGGCCTTTTACGATAGCGCAAGAAGCGAGTGAGCCGTTTCCATGAGTAACAATACGAGCAACGCCGTGTGGCAACAGTGTGAGTACGTAGCAGATTCGAAGTAGCGGCACAAGGGGGAAGAGGGGGGAGGGGGCAACATCTTTTTTTCTGGTTCAGCTCATCAGCTTACAGCAGTTGATAGTCAATTTCCACAGAACACCTTGCCTGTTGTTTTCATAAGACTGGAGAGCATTCTTACACCGGATGATACTGGATTCTTACATAAGGTCATCCAGGAACCTCATATATGGCGATGAAGCAGTGGCAGATCCATGATTTTGTCAAAGGGGGGAGGGGGGGTCGCCTTTTATTGTGGTGCCCCTATAACTTGGTGCTCCCCCGCCCCTCACAGACAGTTCTGGATTTTCTTTCAAGTTCCTGAATTTCTTAAAGGGTTGTGATGTCATGAAAGGTAGGTTTTTCGTGCCCTGTCACCAAACAGGCCGATCCAGAATTTTGTCAACGTGAAATATACATATTGTGGCGCCCTGGTACGCGGAAACGAAGGTTTTTGTGTTCTCATGTCTAAGGGGCCGATTAATAATGTCGTAAGGTCGGGCGGCACTACACTGTTGTGCCCCTGGAATTCGATGCCCCTGAGAAGAACGCTTCGAGCACTTCGTGGCATCCTTTGGAAACTGGTGTATCTTTAGATTTAAGGTTATGGTTTCCCGAAATAAAAGTTTTGGTACTTCCTCACAGAATAGCCCGATCTCGGATATCGACAAGGCACACAAAACACACATTGCAGTACCCGTGGAATTCGGTGCCTTTCAAAAATGAGGATTTATGCCAAGTTGTGGTGTCTTTGGTATCGCACCAAAACCTTAAAGGGGCTTAAGGATGGGGCATGGCCCGATAACCATCTCTGAATTCACCCCTGCTATGAACAAATATGACACGTATTATGATTAGAGATTGATATAATTGCACCGACGGAAACCGTTCAAGTTGTGTCAGATTTTACACGCAGGTTGGGGATTTCCTGATGTTGAAAATGTATTTTAGATAAATTTATCCCCGTTTTATAAAAATGGCCCCTTCTGCAGGCTCGAAACCTTCAAAACGTACATGTTTCGGTGGTGGTTAATATGACCAGCGCCACACCTCCCATGCCTTAACGATAATGCCCCAGTCCCTCTCCGCCGTTGAGGACTGTGCCCCAGTCCCTCTCCGTCGTTGAGGATAACATCCTGAGTTACGAGCTTCCAATGTAGCTATCAAAGCATAACAGCAACGTACTCGCTCTGTGAATCACGGAGAGTAGGTAAGTGAATCAACACATTACGTCAAGTAAGAGAGCCAGCTGGATGTTGAAGTTAGTCACTGGTTCAAGTTCATTCCCCATCGAGGGCAGCCATAGACGTGGAGGTCGGCGGGTGCGTTCTATACCCTAACTCGCCGGCCTTCGGGGCGAGAGACGGCTAGTATGGCCGCTGGCAGGGTGCACTGGCCGCTGCCAGGGGGACTTACCTATCGATGTATCCCTCAGCAGCCGACACCACGAGCAGTGCGAGCAACGCCAAGCGAGGCCCGGACCGCACGGCAGACGCCATCTCGTCAGACAGTGAGGCTGGTCGACCGCCGGCGCACCCTTTATACCCTCCGAGCGACGTGCGGCTGACATTTGATGTTCCCCTCCCCAGCCCACCCAGCCAGTCCCTCGACTCGCCCCCCCCCCCCCCCCCCCCCCCCCACCCACATGGTCCACTGGCGACAGGTCAAACGGGACGCATCATTGTTCCGCCCAGCAGTAGCCCTTCGGAGGACACGCGGCACTTGTAGATTAAGCGCTTTTAACAGTAGAAGTTCGGATCCCTTGAAGGGAATGTTCCGCATTTGAAAATGTTGAGACAAGCATCAGATATGATGGCAAAGGCTTATTATAGCTCTTGGCGTGCATTTAAAGCTGAAAAACTTGCCTAAGTAAGGGAATTACTTTTATCACTAAATATGCTACCTTGCGTCAACTGACAACCAGACCTAAGGATTGCCGTGTAATTCCCAATAACTTGGTAACTGTTGTGACGCGAGCCATTATCCTTGAGGCGGCTGTGGTGGCGGGTGAGTATGTGGTGCAGATAGGGATTGTGACTTTGAATGTCTTGGTGCAAGACATGGACAAAGCTTAGTTGGACTGTTTGGCATATGCTTCGTAGCAATTGCCAGCTTGTGTGATAGCTGGTGAAAAACAATAGCCGGTGAAAAAAATCACGACAGGTGGCGAAAAGCATTAACGGGTCATGATTTTCATATCAAAGCTTGCCATGGGCTGCCGTTAGGCACGCAGCCAGACCCATGGCAAGGAGGGGGCGCAGGGTTGAATAAGGGCCTTCTGATCTTAAAAGGCCGTCCAAACAAAATTGCAGAATATAGCCCAGTTGTTAATGAAAATGTGTTTTCTTTTTGACATTTTCCACTTTTACTTAATATAAGTGAAATAGAAGCCGAAAGCTATCGTGAGATCAACTCTGCCTGAGTTTTATAGTCAGTCAACTTAGAAATCATGTGTAAAATGACTGCATGAAATACGCCGCGGTGACTCGTCATTTTACAGTGGTCCAGTGGAATTGATATAGATCTGAAGCTTTCGAAAGGCTGGGCCGAAGCTATTGTCAGAATTACATAGGTCGTTAAGTGCATTTGCAAGGAACATTATTCGCATAAATAAGACAGTAGTATTAGCCTTATTTCTCGGAGAAAAACAGGAGTCTGGAGATATACATACGTTGATATTTCGGCAACATGCCTTTATCCAAAAGAAAAGGGGAATATTCTTCTGCTCTTCAGTTCGATCAAGACATGTTGCTGAAATATCAACGCATCTATATATTCATCCTCCTGGTTTTTCTCCGAGGAATAGTGCTATTACTACCGTTTCATCTTTCTTCAGGATATTTATCTGGGCTGTACAGATCTCTGTGCATCCCAAAAATTATTAAGGACTTCGTAAATATAGATCGAAATCGGTCAGCAATATGCATCAACATTACCAAACAATGTTTGATAATTTTTAACATTCAGTCTGCATTGTTTAGTGCTACAAATTGAGTAGTGCAGTTTTGGGCATGAGCGCTTAGCAGCAAAAGCCTCGATGCCAGGCGTTGCAGTCCCCGTAGGTCACGCCGTGTTGGCCTCGTGGGTAGCACTGTGTTGTGGCCAACGGGTGTACGAAAATGATGACGCATTGGAAAGGAGTACTTTCTAGCGCCTTAGCTCATGCCACCGTATATTCAAAAGGTAGCCGTGCGCGTACTTCAGCTGTGCGATTTTACAGCGATAAATTTAACGGATTCGCCTTTACAGCACCTCGAAGAAGTGTTGAAATATTGTGACAGAGCTGGATGAATAAAGGGGATCTCTAATTATCGTGTTGAAGATTTTAATCTGTCAAGAGGTCAGCCTTAAAGTTGCAAAAAATACGTCCAGCCCGTTCTTTGACCGGTTCGGATCTATTTTTAAGACATTAGGAAGTATTATTCTACGACGGTCGTCGCCGCTCGAACGGCAACGTTCGCCTGGTGTCACTTGCAGTGGCAATACCGTTCGGTTTTACGAAACTTTAACCCAGGCCATCGCTGTCCCTACTTACAATATTGCGAGCACGTAGGCTTAAACATTTTGATAAGTTGTTTCACTAGTCTGTCCTGCAAACAATAAACGTTCTCAAGCAAACATGGGATGGACTCGTTCGTTTTTAATTCATTTGGGCCCATTCTTTTCAACACTAATAAGACCCCGTAATTCCAGGAAAGAAGCCCCTTGATTACTATACTAGGGCACCTCATTGTTCCTGGTTATGGGTTGAAGGGCCATTTTGTCCAACAGTGGAGTATTTCCGGCTGCTATGATGGCGGCACGTGGGGGATCTCCTGGCCGATCCGGAGACATCATATTACGTTTGTCCCCGCCCTGATACGGGAGACCTTCTTACCCGCGTAGGCCTCAGTTGACCCCGGATCGACGCAGAAACTTTTGCTGACACAACAACTAGCCCACCGTTGGGTATTGGGGCCCTCGATTGGCGCAGAACCCTTCCATTGCCTCAGCGCAAACAATCATCATAAGCTCCCATGTTTCCATTCATTGTCCGAGAGCTCAGACCAGCGCGAGAACCCTTCTGTCACTCGGGATCCCGTTCCCGTTCCTGTTCCTGTTGATCGAACCTCCCTCTGGCCGAACCGCGGTCCTTGTTGACACTGATTGTCCCTTTGGGCCCTGCGGGCCTCAGAACGATACAGGAGCACTGATTGCTGTTGGGAGCCCGACACGGGTGGCGATTATAATTTTTTTGTGAGGCCCTGCCCCCCCCCCCCCCCAGGCTGGCTAAGCCCTATCCTAATGTTTTTGGCTGGAATACTACAAAAGCGTAGGTGAAGTCTCACCACCACATCCAAACAAAATTTTCAAAAATTGTATGCGGCGTCGCCATGGTGGATGCAGCAGCTAATGTAGTCCTCGCAACTACGAATTTTTTTCCTAAAAAGGTGAATGGAAAAAAAAGAAAAAATGGGCGACTGAACGTAATGAGGGCTAATCCCTCTTAATGCCTGACGTGTTTTTGCCCGTCAAGCGTAATCCCAGGCGTGACTTCCTTGTGATCAGGAAATTTGAAACGAACATAAAACTATCCCTCAAAGCACGTTTTTCCGTGAAAAAGTAGTTTAGTTTTGGCCCTTGTCTGCCTTTAATATGTGACCGAAGTTGGATGGAATTAGTGGCAATCATAACTTCAATCGGATACTAGTCCAAGAAATTGTTTCAAAGATGCATATTTTCGTGTAACATTCCGTTGTCGCATGAGATTGAACGATTTCCCAGGATATGCCTTTGCTGACAGTCATAGCCTGACTTTGACCTGCCATAGGTCAGCGACCTGACCATGCATATCTAGCTTTCTATACCTAAAGATTTGTTGCTCGACTTCCTACAACTACGCAGAGTTTGGCGCGGTGTAGCTTCACAAATACTTTATCGTTCATGCAGTCAGATGTTTACCTCCACGAAGAAAAGTATGCTTATCTTACATGGCTGTACACAGAGGCGTAGTTTCCCGAAATGAGTTCGGAGTCTGAACAGTGAAAAATGACCCAACCCGCCTCTAAAATATACCAAAAAATAGATATCTGCCAGGATTTTGCCGAATTTCTTCCCAGAGTTAGTAGGGGCTGTTTTTTTTTTGCTGTTTAGCCCTTCCCCAAGTTGGGGAAGGGCTAAAGATCCCCGACTGAAAAGAAACTGCACCCCTGCCTGTGCACTTGCCAACGCTATGAACGGCTTTGCCACGCCGGTCGGAAATTATTCTAGAAGGCCTTCGGAGGAAGGGGAGGGGGCAAATTAACTCCTGCCCTAGCGCGTACAAAATAGGCAAGCATGTGCCGATCCCATTACTAGCATACACAGTTCTCACAACACAGTCGCAGTAATCGTGTTCTCATGGTTTTTCACGTGCCATTTTATGCCTTTCATTATCGTAGTTCGCTTTTAGCCTAAATTACACGTACGTATTGGCCAACGCAGCTTCTTTATGTCATTCCAAAAAGTGTAGTTGAAAAATGCTCAGCGGCGCCAAACTGAGATCAGATTTACACGCACAGCCCATATGTCACAGAAAATCTTACCTTTAATAAGGTACCACTGTTTTCAGGGGAAAGGGGCGATGTGACCTAAACCAAGAGCAAAATAAAACTGAAGAAGGTTGTGTAATTTGTCTGCAAGGCTTGGCCTCCAAACTTATGGCGGGACCCATTACTGTAGTCGAATGTTGACCTCACAGAAACGCAGGCTTCTGGTATTTTCTGGTAGCTTTGCGGATACGCGATACATAGAACTTTACGCGCAAGGGTCATAAGACACGCGGGGTTTGTGAGGTTTAAGTGAAAAGCTCTGGAGTACGGGGACGACCTAAGTCCTCCATGGCTATACCCATTCCGTCCACCACAACCAAATACATGCCGTCCTTCATGGTCGCTACAAACGTGTGCCTTCGGCACCCTAAGGCGGCCACCACTTGCTGATCAGAAGAGGCGCATGGTTCCTATGCTGGCTCCCTAGATCCACTCCTGAATGATTACTATACTGGTGAAATCAAAGACTTTTTATAAATCATGCAAAAATGAAAACCATGTATTACTTGTCTATTACCATTAAAACCATGTTTTACTATTACTTACCCTCAAGTGGGCTAAATCCAGTGACAAAAACTGGGGAGAAGAAGGTTGCCAAGCCATGGTTCGCCCCCCCCAAAAAAAAAGCAAAAATTGACACCCCTGGGCCCCGACCAATGTAAATCGCGGGTCCGGCCGCATCTCTGCTTGGGCAATGGGCCCCCAAAGCTCAGACCGACACTGAGCCGACTGCTCGGAGCTGATGATATCTGGCTGAAACAGAGTTTGTCTCTGTCTGTCCCTCTGTCTGTCTCTGTCATGCTCTGCTCTGTCTCGGGGGTCTCCAATCGGTGCACAAGGCCTGCTAGCTGACATTTGAGAACAAGGCCCTACGGGCGGGGATCCTTAACGTGCCCCACAGTCAGCCCTTTGGCCGTCAAGCCTTCCAA